TTTTCTGTACGTTAAGTACAGGTATTAATATGTGTTTAGCCATATGGGTTATCATTAAATGTTCTTTTGTTAGATTCACACCTCAGCTTTTGCTGAGTGTGTAGTTGTTCTTGCTACACGCAGGTAGACATGACGGTACAGGTGCTAACCCTAGAGGACAGTGATGATGGGAAGATGGGCGGCGCATGGACGAGTTTAATAATTATAATCATTTGAAATAATTAATCATTTGGGCATGAACCCATCAAATGTCGTTTTACTTATTTTGGACTTATATATTTACTTCCGCTTTTACTCTGCATTTATATCACATACATTTTGGGGTTAATTCCCTAGCATTTATTTCACCAATTAAACACAACCGTTTTCATAATAAATGCACTTTAATGTTTTACGTTGCGGACGGTTCTCGGACCGCCCATGTAACCCTACCGGTCAGTTAGGTCGCGGGTGAACCGGGTCCACGGAAGGCGGGTGTTTTTATTTGGTATCAGAGAGGTTCGGTTTTTGTGAAAAAAAATAAAAAAAACATATTTGGTCATCTTGGTCAAAGGGTATTTTCAAAAAAGTCCACAGCCGCATTTCCCATCACATCACTTCCAGGGAAAGGTACACCGTTATTTAATTCATTTATATGTCATATTGTAATTAGTTCTGATTTAACTCCTCCTATAGAGAATGAGTCAAGAAGCAAGCAACGATGGACAAGCCGCCCCACATGGGGAGCCTGAGCACGTGAGTGTGCACACGGAAGCGTCGAACTTCACACCCCATCAAGTCCCAGAGCAGGTAGCCCCGGGCGCGGGCCCTGTTCCGGGAGTCGTTCCCATCAATCAGCCGCAGTTTGCGGCTAACTTCATGAATTTCCTCCAGCAGTGGGCTGGCGCATATGTTCCACCACCCCCACCACTGCCACCACCGGTGGTTGTGGTCACCATCGAGAAGCTCTGGAAGAATGGGGCTGAAGCGTTCTTAGGCGACCAGATCGCCAAGCGATGGTTTGAGCGAACCGCTCGAGTTTTGGGAAACCTTAGGGTTCCACACAATCAGCGCGGCGACCTCGCAGTCGCATTACTACAGGATTCTGCCTACGACTGGTGGAAACGCGTGGGAGCAGACGTCCCTGAGCCCGTGCAGTGGGCCACCTTTGATCGACTTTTACATGAAGAGTACGTTCTAGAGCACTTCGTCGAGGCGAAGCGAGAGGAGTTCCCGAAGTTCACTCAGGGCAAACTCACACTACCCGAGTATCGTCAGAAGTTTGACGAGCTCGCGGGGTTTGGGCAAGACCTCGTCCCGACCATGGAGAAGCGATGCAAGCGCTTCGTGGAGGGTCTACGCCCCGACTTATCAGCTCATTTGATCACCGCCCCTCGGGTTGACATCAACGTGTTGTTCAAAAATGCGTTGGACATGAACACAACCCTCATCAAGAAGGACGAGTACGAGCAGGCCCAGGCGACGCATCCTCGTCCACCTCCACCTAGCTCAAGCAGCAAGGGGTCTCCCTCCGTGCCAAGCAGCTCGCACACAAGCAAGAAGACAAAGTCAACACATGCCCCGTCACCAGTGCCTACACAGGAGAGCGGGAAGAACCCGAGTCCGAGTGGATACCAGTACTCAATCTGCACCCAATGCGGTCGAAGGCACCCCTGAGAGTGTTGGTTTACTTAGGGCTTATGCCTAGGGTGTGGTCAAGCCAGGCATTTCCGCAGGGATTGCCCGACGAACCCTGGCGAGGCGTTTACGACAGCACCCGAAGCTCCAGCCCCAGCCGCCCAGCCCGCTCAGAGCCAAAGATCGGTAGCAACGTGCACAAACGCAAAGCCCAAAAGGCCGACGCTGAGCGCTAAGTCTAGAGAGGCTCCAGCTCGCACAAACGCAAAGCGCGGATGCACTGAGTAGTTCGCACATGACGTAATCATGGCGATCAATGACTAGGCAAATTTCGAGGACAAAATTTTTCTTAAGGGGTGGATAATTGTAATGCCCTACAACCCGATCTATTAGAATTGATTGTTTTAAATAATTAATTACTGTTCCGGTCCAGAGTTGTGGAAAATAAAAGTTCTTAGAAAAATTATTTGAATATGTCATTAAATTCATTTTGACTGGTTGATTCCAAAAACGCAAACGGATCTCAATTCGGACCTGTTCAAGGGGAAAACCGCGTACCGTTCAGGTCAGATTTTAACATAAGGGAGTAAATAAATATTTGTAACTCCTCATTTCAATCCACACGCCACCTCATCCATCCCCCTTAACTCTCCATCAATTCCTCATTACTCACCATCAATTCTTGTATTGTTAAACTCCCCTTCCCATTCATTTCCCCTTCATAAAAACCTTCTTCCCCATTCATGTCCTTCATCATTTGTAACTCCCACTCCATAACTCCCTCACTCTCTCTTCCTCTTCCCCTACATTGTTTGGCCAAGGAAGCAGCCCAGGGAAGTCTCCGGCAAAGCTCCGGTGGGTGCACGGTTGAAGGAGAAGAAGAGTTAGGCCGTTCGTGTGAAACGTAGCCATCGTTTGTCCGTTTGTTCATCTCGTTTCGTCAACCCCTACGTTTAGAGGTGAGTAGTTGTCTCCTCTAATTCTAGAACATCAAGTTATAATCTATGTCGTTATATTCATAGGAATATCGTATGCAACCTACGTAGAATCTATGCATGTTCGTAGGTTAGCCATCAAAACGTTCACTACGTAAAACTTGTATATATTGGCCTAGGAATCACTAGGAATATATTCGTAAATGTTTACATTATTTTTGTAAAAAGAATCAAGGCGTTAAGTTCACAAAACGGAGCAAAACGAAGCCAAAACCAGTGGACTATCTACGGGACGGTGGACCGTTTCCCTTGACCGTCCGTCGGCCACCACCGTGACGGTCGACCGCCGGCCACGAAGGAAGACCGGGGTGGACCGTTGGTGTTCCAGACCTCCATTACGTAGCCCATGGTCGACCGCCGGTAGGGTACGGTCGACCGTTCTGGCGGGCAGAATTCTGGGCAGTTTGCCGAACGAGCCCGTTGACCATATCGACTCAGAATCTGATTGTATGTTTGCATGAAATGTTAATCTTCATTATGTATGTTATTTATTTGATATATTCTTAGCGTTGACCAAAGGTAAATACATCAAGCATTCATCATGTTCATTCTAGACGCATGTCCTAGGTTTTTCATCATGTGCATACCACTGTAGGGAGGTCAGGCTTTCGTGCGCCTTCTACAGTGGACCCGTCCAGGAACCTTTGGGGACCAATGAGTTTTCATCATGTTGGGCTTGTATGTGTACGTACATAGTAGTCAGGTTACGGCTACTACCCGGTTTTGCTAGTCCACTCGCGACATTTTCGTCGTGCCCGGCTCGTTACCGTTCGGGGACGATGACCGGAGTGCAGGGGTGATCCTGTCGAGTGAGACTAAGCCAGGGGTGTTCATGTATGCTCCTATCACCTTGTGTGTGGAAATATCCCTAGCAGGTGAAAACTAAACAGTTAGTAACATGTGGTTTTCCGTACGTTAAGTACAGGTATTAATATGTGTATAGCCATATGGGTTATCATTAAATGTTCTTTTGTTAGATTCACTTCTCAACTTTTGCTGAGCGTGTAGTTGTTCTTGCTAGTGCGTCCATCTGTACTGCCATGTCCACGATTGGGATCTCCTGTCACTACTACCCTTCTACCCGCCGCGTACCTGCTCAAATTATTAATATTAGTAAACTTTATTAATTAGTAAACCCGTACTTGGGTAGTTTACAGCAAAATGAATAAAACCTGAATATATAAATGAAGGCGAAAATGAGTGCATTTATATCACATACGTTTTGGGGTTAATTCCCTAGCATTTATTTCACCAATTAAACACAACCGTTTTCATAATAAATATACATTAATGTTCTTTTCTCTACGGCCGGTTCTCGTACCGCCCATGTAACCCTACCGGTCCATTGGGTCGCGGGTGAACCGGGTCCACGGAAGGCGGGTGTTACACTTTGGGATCAGTACGATGTAAAATTCCATACCCAACTGAAATATTTGGTATGGTATGCGTACGGACCAAATACCGTACCACGCTTCCCCCTAACTAGGTATGTTTTGTTTAAATTTGTTTCTATAGGCAAGTTTCATATTACTTCCATGGCCATTAAAGTGATTGCGCCAATTAGAATAGGTTCAGTGCTTTATTCATAAAATTGATAGTTCTTACCCCTAACTTTCAGTAAACTCTCCATCTAGTCTTGATCCCAACGTACCCTTCCCCTCACCCACGTCAATTGCACTTCGCAAGTTCAGTTGACTTTGAGATCAATCTTTTTTACTTCAAAGTGAACTAAACTTGTAGGGTGCAATTAGGGTGCAATCATTTTGGTCCTTATTAGACCAAAATGATATTCAAAACTACTTTTGTTTTATAATAAATTTTAGGCCATATTTTGTGTCGTTACAGTTGCAGCCTTGATTTCCTCTTCAAGCGACAACTGAACCATGGTGTGATTGTCTTGATCAGTGATGAGAATAGTAATATGTGGTAGAATAGTATCCAGGCTTCCTATGTGATTTTGTGAGAAGGTGGTCTCATAATGGTTGATAATATAATTGGAGATTTCACTTTGATCCACCATATCTTTTCCATCTTGATTTTTGAGGAGTCTGATGCTAGCTTTTCTCTTTTTTCCTTTTACGAAAGAGTGAAAGAATTTAGTAGATGCATATCCACAAGCTAAAGATTCGATATTTGCTTTTTTAGCCCAATAGTTTTCTTCCTTGTAGCATACCTTAAGTAATTTAGCATTAGCTAGATTACATGCCTCTCTATTGCTTGGTGTATCATCAAGTTCAAATTTTTCTTGTGCGCTTGAAGGGCATCTAGTTCTACTTCCTTAACTTGAGAGAAGATGTTGCCGAAGTGCTTATTATTCCAATCCTTAATTCACTTCTTGAGACACTTGAGTTTATTAGCCAAACTTGTCATACCTCTACCATCAGAAGTGGAATTTTAGGAGTCTTTAACCAAACCATGAAATATCATCCAAGGTCCAAGCATTGAGAAATCTTAAGGGTTTAGGGCCAGTGTATTGGTAATTAATTTATACAGTCCAAAAGGAGAGGTTTATGATCACATGAAGTTTTCCCTAGATGATAGAGGTAGATATCAGAGAATTGGTCAATTGTGGCTTGATTGCAGTACTCTGCCTTTAGCTCTATTTCTGATCCAAGCGAAAGTGTTGCCCTTAAGACACGGCTCTAGGAGGCTGCAGGTGAGAATGCATTCCTTAAAATCTTCCATGCTTCTGAGATAAGGAGAGACATTACCCTGGTGTTCTACGAGGGTAGTGATAGTATTAAATTCCCCTCCCACTATCCATGGTTGATCCATTGGATTGTGATCCCTAATTGAGTTCCGGAGAAGCAGTCTGTCATTTCTATCGTGTTTCCCATAGACAGAGCTGACATAAATAAGAGAGTGGTTGAGAATATTGAAGAATAAGCAAGTAGTAACTGTTGAATATTACAGCGGGAAAAAAAAAAATAATAATCCGAACTTATAAAACGTTCGGATTTTACAACAAAATAAAAGAAAGTAAAACTTGGAGTCTTCGGGAGCTCGAACGGACTTTTCTTCGGACGGAGAACAAAGAGTCGCCGGAGATGTTTCTTGAGGAAAGCGGAGTCGCCGAAGCTTTCCTTAAGGTAGTATTGCCCGCCTCCCGCACTGGCTAACGTGGGCAATCTCCTCCCAGGATAAAACCGCTTCGTGCTAGGTCTAGAGCGGTAGAACAAAGCACCGGCGAACGAGAATGACGGAGAGCTATTGCCGGAGAAGATGACCGGAAAAAGGAGATGGTCGGAAGTTTATAATGTAGAGTGAAAGAGAAATTTCGAGTTGGTGTGCTTCTCCCTACAACCAAGCCCTCCTTATATAGGAACGGATTTGGACTCTTCACATGGACTGGACGGAGATTACGAGGAGACGCAAGCCATCCCTTCGTCTCCATGCATGCATGCCTTTGATTCTATACACTTCGTTATCAACGAAGTGTATACACGCGTGATTTGGTCTCGTAAAAATTTAGCCACGCCACGCGTGTCGTGACGTGCCGTGCCGGACGGACGGCGGCGGCGGCGGGCGCGCGAGGAGTTCTCTTCTTGTTCCTTTCATAAGCTCAATTCAATGCCTAAGCTTAAATATGAGAATACGAAAGGTTTAGAAACCGGTGTGGGACAAAGGCATTTACAATACCTTAGTATTCAACTTTGAGAATTAATTTCTCATTCACCCGAGCACCGTTTATGGCGTGTAATATGTCAAGACGTTCGTCTTACTTACGAGATTAATCGTCCATAATTATTTTGGAAAAATAATTTGTGGACCCAACCAAATTTATGTCCGAAAAATGTCCAATTCACTTTAAAATTTCCAACAATCCCCCACATGAATGAAAATTAATTCATGTAACTGGCAATAACTCTGAAGTTGAAACCTGCAAGAGTAGGTAGGTTTTATGCCTTTGAACCTACTCCTTGTAAAGTATACGTTCTCTACTGGCTGTTCAGTGGAACGTGATGTCCTTGAACTGTACTGCTGTTTATGTAAACGACGATATACAATACACAAGTTTCAACCAACCATCATTCCGTTCTCATGGGTGTGCCCATTATGGTCGTGGAACACGCATCTGGTTCTGCGAGAGTGTCAGACAGGATCAGCCCGAAATCCTTCTGTTGAAGCGACCGCACTTCACTCTTACATAGGTGATTCTTCTAAGAGTATCCCGATTACTCCCACTTGGACCTCGTTGTCCATAGTTCAAGAATCATTAAAGCGTCATGCTAACCTCATCGTTTTCGGGAGTCACTATATCTCAGTAGGAACGGAGGGGTGTTAAGTCGGTGATCCGGCTTGCCCCCACAGTGACCGTGCTTCGTTCCACAAGTAGGTTGTCCCATTGAACCCAGGTTCCACCTAGGTTGGGTTTTCCTTCATGGGACGTTCCCAGCACAGGGTAGGGCTTTCAGACCCATTCCTACCACTAACTTCTCATGCTGCTCATTGGTTAACCCTTTGGTTAATGGATCCGCTAAATTATCCTTCGACTTGACATAGTCAATCGAGATAATACTCGTATTGAGAAGTTGCCTAATGGTTTTGTGTCTACGGCGAATATGCCTAGACTTACCATTATACAATTTGTTCTGAGCTCTTCCTATTGCTGACTGACAGTCACAATAAATGCAAATAGGAGGAACTGGTTTTTCCCAGTTTGGAATATCCTCAAGTAAATTCCGAAGCCATTCGGCATGTTCTGCACACTTGTCTAGTGCTATGAACTCAGACTCCATGGTGGATCTG